TAATGTTATATCATTATTTATATATTTGAACTTAAATATAAAATGCTCTTTGAAAAATAACCATGTATAGGCGGAAATTTTGTAAAACTAGTCATATAAAAGGTTTCCGTCAAATAAATTATAAACTGAGTATATATGAAAGTCAAACAATCAAAATATCCTAATCACACGACTATAAGTTTTAGACGTATACGTTGCCTTGCTCCTTATCTTATTAATAACTTTCATGTGACGTTAGAAAAATCAGTTCTCAATAATATAAATTTGTCGTTCTCGAGTTTTTCCTTTCTTAAAACATCGCTCATTAAGAAAATCAATGATAGCTGTAGTTCTCATTGTTGACATAACATTTAAAAAATGTTATGTCAACAATTCTACTAAAATAAGTTTAATGGAACGCATAATATTAACACAGGTGACATTTAGCAAGTGTTACAATTTATAAAACCGCCTTTTCCCTGCAGCTTCGCATGTGCGGATTGTTTAATTACCACACTTTAGTGTTTTATTTAATAATGTTAGTGAACTCGGATAAAAGAAGAAGAGAAAACCTCAAGAAAAGTGTTGAGAGTTATACTCGTCCAAGAGCTACAGTAGTTACTTATCAGATGGATTTTAAGCTCGTTTACAAATGACTTCAAAAAAGGAGGACATTCTGAATTCATCAATATGTTAACCGATTACTCAAAGACGCCTGAATCGATTTGGAAAATTATTTTTTTGTTTCAAAAGACCTGATTTTTGCATCTGCTTTGTTCTGAATAACGAATTTATTTTTATTAGGGGCGCCTTGTCATTGCCTATACTTCCAGAACTTAATTCCTTGCTATTAATGTTTATTGTATATCTATTATCGTCACTGCGTTGCTAGCGATACGTTTTGCTAGCAACGCAAATTTCAACAGTTCGTTGCGGTGAAAATTTTAGAGCGCCTAATTTTTAAACTTGGCGCCTAAAAAGCACCTAATTTTGGGTTTTTCTAAATGAAAATTCCTGACTTTGCGTTGCTGGCGACAGCTCAGTTTTTGAGTTACCCTTAATAATGCGTATTTAATTCACTTAGACTACATTGATGATGATCTCATTTTATTTATATTGAAGTTGGTTGTACAACATTTTAATTTTACCACTTGTGTGAACTCGGTTCAACATAACACAATCCACGAACAGAAGACATTAGTTCCTAGACTTGCGCTCTCATTTGACAAATGTCAAGCTATATCTTTGATTTCAGTTAATCGATTGAGATGGAACATAGGTTATTTTTTACTTCAGCATAATATAGCCGTACAGTAGTGAAAATTCCATTTAAATTAGTTTAAACATTCAGTTATTGTTTAAAAATTCTATGAGGCCAAAAACTTTGACGGATTCCTTTAGAAAAGTCGTCATTACTCCGAGAGAACCAGCCTATTACTTACCTTAAGTTCCGCTAAAATCTAATAATTTGCTTTATCTGACACTTACGCATATATTATAAAGACAGACAAACAGACTGAGGACAATAAAAATTATTCATTAATTTCTTAACATTTACATATTCTATATTTTAAAACTAAAATCAATATAAAGAAATGACCTCGTTACAGTTTTATTGTATATACTCGCATGTGTAATATTTAAATAGAGTTTATTTAACCGAATTCCTCAAGTGTTATAATATTTACAAAAATATTACTAATATTTTATTCTGTCTTATATGAATATTTTGTCTCTTATAATGACCGTGTAAAACGCCACAAGTTCTAGTTTAGTTAGGTATAAGAATAATAATAATATATAAATCCCCTGTTTAGAATTAGGACATAGCATGTTATTCTTCCTCCTATGGTATCACATAACCGTTACATCAATCAGCGTGAACTTGCACAGAAGAGATTAAAGTAGAATTATAATTTCTTCTGTGCAGGTCTTCTCTTGGGAGTTTTTGAAGTTGAAGTCGAAGAAAAAAAGTAAGTATTAAAAGGCAAGATCATTCAATTTTTTCATATACCCTAGAACTACCAATGACAATGGTCTTAGTTTTATTAGAATTAATCATTAAACTGAGACTAAATATAGAATTGTAGCTCGTTAGCGCATAGTTGGTAGAAAGAGGACAAGTTGTGATTAGGAAATCGATGAAAATTGCAAACGTCACCATCTTGTTGTACACCAACCGCTATAGTCACAGTCTAGAATCTAGATGGAAAAAAATTCTTGCACCAATGCGCTGTCGGCTACCGAACAAGTAACTTCAAAAGCCGTCAACTACAGTCGGATAAACGTTGAGAGAGCGAAGGACTCCTAACAAGATATTAAAACCAACAGTTAAATGCATTTTCAACAGTATTAAATGCATGGTAAGCTTTTCATTCTCCATACTATGTCGAATGTCATTGGCAATTTTTAGAAGTGCTGAAATTTAACAGATTATATATTTTAGTAGACGTTAAGTTCGCTGAGAACAGTGACAATCGCAGTGCAGAATAGTGACTATCTGACAGAATAGAGATTTAGAGAAATGAAATAGTAAATCTGCTAACTAGAGAGGTTCGAATTTTTGGGGAAACCACAAATACCTTTTTTCATGTGAAAAGGAAAAGGCTGTGTTTCGTGAATTACTCAGGATTATTCATCCCGAATAATTGACTAAATATGTAAGGAGATCAATGAGATTGATAACAATTTTCCAACCTATGCAGTCACTACCAATCGAATTCTAATTGATGCAGCCATAAGGCTTTAAAAGGCCTAAATGACCTTGGCGAAACGGCGACCGCAAAGATATTAGCCGACGTCAGCACCGTCTAGCGACTACTTTCTGTATTACTTAGAAAAGCGCAAAGATAAAGACTGCATAGGTGACAAGTATATAAGTGATATACTGCCTATTATGCTTGAGCATCGCTGAGAATATATGTCGCGGTTAAGCATCTTCAATTACATTGCACGGTGTGGTGCTGTAGCTTCGTCCGGTAGGCATCACGAGCTATCAAGTGTTTAAGTTTTAAGTACGTAAGAGTTTTTTATTATATTTCTTGAATCGTATTTATTTGTGTCGTATTTGTAGCTCTGAGTGTAAGAGCTCGCTGTAAATTTCATCCGGCTTTGATTCACGACAGCATCAATAAAAATTTTAGTTGCAATTTTAAGTGCTGATTTAGCACGTGCTTGGCGGTTAAGGGAAGGAGAAAAGAGGAAATCACAAAACGATCCCCATGCAGATCAATGTGACTCTATTCAGCATCTTAATATGTACATACCCCGGGATTCAGAGATTTTAAAAGTTCTCATGCGCAGATACTGGAAGAATAGCATAGAATATTATATTATTACTGTCCCGTGTGAGACAACTCATATTCCCATCACACGTAATACATTTTTATTGTTGGTTAGAAAAATTATATCTACATGCAAACACAGGGTAAATTTCTTTTTTTTTTTTACTATTCTTACCCAGCAAGTAGTTAAGCAACTACAATCCCACCTAATGGTAAGTAGTTATCCACTTTTGAGTGGACTAAGGAATATCGCAAGCTTAAAGTAACAACGAGAATGTCATTGAAATAGTTATATTTTAAAGTTCATCCATTAAATGTCGTTTTCTTTAAATCTCTCTCTCTCTCTAATTCTCTAAATGGTAGAGCCATGCTGCAGCTATGTTATGGTTGTAGCACGAATGGGTCGGCTCGACCGGGGAACGACCACGCTCTTACAGAATACCAGCGTAAAATAGCAACTTAACGCTACTGTGTTTCGTGTGGTAAGTGTAGAGAGAGAACCGGAGACCCTTTTTACTAGAAACGAGGCATTCCATCTAAGTCCTCACGGGTGACAACACATCTGCATTTTGATTCGTAATCGAAGATAGATGTAGATGTCTATGGGCCACAGCAACCACTTACCATCAGGTGTACTGTGTGCTCGTTTGTCACCCTTATCCTATAAAAAAAACTTTATAAAGTCCTATTTATTTAACTAAGTAATATAAGAGTAAAGAACAGAGTAACAAACATACATAAACAACGTACAGCCGAATTGAGAACCTCCTACTTTTTAATCTAGCTAAAATATATCATATTCCTCGTCCTTCTTAAAAATTAGATATCCTTAATTGAATGAAAAAGGTAACTTAAACATAAGCGTTAATTAAGAGCCTATAAATTTCCCGCTGTGAGGTTACGAAAAGAGAGAGCACACTGCTCCAACTGCTCCAATTACAATATATTATTCTGTTTCTCGGACATAATTTTCTCACGATGTTTGCTACTCGTATTACCACCAAGCAAGTGCTAAATAAACGCTTTAATTTTTTTTTTTTGGGTTTTTGTTCTTTTTGTATTTTATCCTGAGCTTATACTTTTCACGTGAAAGGCGAATAAGATCTCTCGTATACCATGGGGGAATTTTTTTTGATGCTGATTTGCTTTTAGGAACATATTTTAAGATAGAACTTTTTAGTATTGAGTAAAATATAGCCATTTCATCCACCGAGGAGCACGAGGCCAGGTCACTCTCCCATGGTATCGAGCTTAAATACTTAGATATTTTTTCAAAATAAATTTTATAGATAAATATAGTTTCCTATAGGCCACAGCATACACTTACCACCAGGTGGGCTGCATATTCATTTGTCCCGCTTACATGTGTAAAAATGAGCAAATTTAAAAATGGGAAATTTTAATTAAAGTGCTCGGCGGTGAAGTAAAATACATACTAAGTATTACAATAAATCGTGTATGTCTTAGAAATAAAAATGTTTCGAGTACCTACATTTGATGTCAACAAACTCGCACTGGGGTTTAACTTTTTTTTTCAACAGCGTTTTAACTTTTGCCTAACAATGTGACGTAATTTTACATTAAAAATTTTCCTCTTATAATATTTTAAAACTTCTTTATAAAAACATAATATACTACAAATATTAATAATGAAAAATAAATTTAATTGTCTCCTGAGATTATGGATGTCTCAAATAACTTTTAGTATAAATATTTTTAGTATCATCCTTGACTTACCTTAGTATCGGGAGTAATCAATCCAATTATGCCGATCTTTCTACCGCTTCGTTCTAATATAACATAGGGTTTATAAAGATTCTGCAGTATAGGCTCTTTGCTAGAATTCATATTAGCAGCTAAAACAGGCGCCTTGAGGGTGGCGATATATGGGGCTAGTCCTTCTGGTCCATCATCAAAATCGTGATTACCAATTGCCTATAAAAATACATTTAATTAAAAATTTATCAGTGAGTGTCATGAGACACACAGTAAAACTAAGTCAGGAGAAAAAACATGAAAAACTGCGGTTCTAAACTCACCTATACAGCGTATCTACTATGGAACATTTTCCCCAAACGACTTTATATTGGAGGCATGTTTTTAGCAGAGGACTTAGTGATAGTGCTGATCATTGTTATCAAGCAATCCATATTTGTAGGATACACATTTTTTATAGGATAGGGTGATGAACGAGCACACAGTCCACCTGATGGTAAGTGGTGGCTGTGACCCATAAACACCCACATCTATCCTCAATAAAGAATCAAAATGCAGATGCGTTGTCACCCGTGAGGACTAAGATGGCATGCCTCTTTTCCAGTAAAAATTTCCGGTTCCCTACACTCACCATACGAAAAACAGCAGTATTTAGCTGCTAATTTATGCTGGTATTCTGTGAGAGCGTGGTCCTTCCTTGTTCGAGCCGACCAATTCGTGCTACAACTATACTACTAATATAACTGCAGCATGGCTCTACCATGTAAAGACACAAATTAATTGAAAACCGTGTAGTGGCGGTATAAAAATATTGACCACCCTTCTAAATGCCATCATCACGTGGCTATCGTAAGAGACGACAGAGTAAAACAAATTAGGAGCTGGGTAGCAGGGTTTTCCTAATAACGACTTAAAAATAAAAAATAAACTGCGGTTTCCAACCCGCTAGCCAAGCGTGGCAGCTATGACAAATATGTTAGGAGGCAATCTATGGGGGAGGCGTATGTTTAACAGTGGACTTTAACAGGCTGTAACGGTAATGATACCACGTTATTATAATTCGTTTTTTTATGAATGGTATATTACATCGATTACAGAATTACGGTGGGTGTAGAGATCTACATTATTGCTATATTATTGCTGATACAGCAATCCATCTTAGCCCTCATGTGTGACAATGCACCTGCATTTTGAATGTAGATGTCTATGAACATTAGTATTCACTTACCATCAGTTAGACCGTGTGCTCATTTGTCAGTTTTATTACTATTAAAACCTCATTGTTATGAAAAACTTACATGTGCATCGTGAGGTAGTAAATTCATAAACTCCTGTGTGACTTTCCACTTTAGCAATGTATACCAGTAAGTGCCTTGGAAACTGTCGCCGGCATTCAGAAGAAGTGCTTGTGGGTTCTGACACTTCAAACTGCTAATCGCGCTGTACAAGCGAGGGAAGCCACCTAAGCAGGAACCGTTGTTGAAGTGGCACGTTGGGGTTTCGATAGACGTTTCCTCAAATCTGTAAAGTACATTTTTATGTTTAAAATAAGTTTCGTCAGTAATATTAAGTATTATATTATAGTAATTTATATGAATAACTAGCTGGTCCTGGTTCGTTGCTGCTGCAGAAGAAATAACTGTGGAAATATCGTTTCAAAGGAAGAGTTATACATTGTTTAATTAGGAATGAATCATTCATTGAAATTGAATGATATATAACTTTCAAATATATGTGTCGCTACGATACGCGTACTGTAAGTTAATTTTACTATATCTATAACCTTCGCGGAATGCATGCAATATGATGACAAAGTTGTAGCGCAATCTGATGAACGGTATGGCAGCTCATAAAATAGGAACAAACAAACATTAATTTTTATACATTAGATAATAATTTTTATTATGTCGATAACGGGATGCTAAAAATTATTATTACAATAATCTCGTCTTATAATATGAATAATGCGTGAGCAAGACTTTTGCACATTTTACGAACGTGTTACGCCTGATCTTTGTGTGAGTCGGATATCCGTCTCTTGACACTATGAGGGTGAGAGAGTTCAATGCTCATGTGCTTGCGCATACGAGTACACTCGTGCACTATAATCCTCTCCTGGAGTTCGGTCTAAAGTATATTATTATTTTTATTGCTATGAAATTCCTTTCCAAGACTTCCCTGGATTTATGTAACTTTACTTTTCTACCAACTTAAAAAAGAAGGAGGTACTCAATACGTTTGTATGTTTTTTATGTGTGTTACCTCATAACTTTTTTCTGGGTGAACCGATTTCGATAATTCTTTTTTATTTGAAAACCAATGCTTTTCATGTGGTCCCATATAAAATTGATCAAGGTATTACCAATAGTTTTTGAGTTATTCTTAATAATTTATATTGAAGTCGGTTGTACAAAATTTTATATTTTAAATTATTCTAATCTTAGCATCATCGTGCGTGTTACAATTTGTGTAAAATATTGTGATTACTTTTAATTTGAAAGCTTTTCTACAATCCTTTTCTTTGCTACTTAAACTGCAAGTTACCGCTACCTTTCCAATAATTCCGTCTATAATTCACGTAATATTCTTCTTCATCGTCAACTCATAGAAATTCACTGCTGGAAGTGAGTCATTGTAGGCTTTGCCATAATTGTTTGCTAGATCGTTACACTAAACAATTGAATTGAATTGAATTGAATTGAAAATCGCTGTTACAAATGTCTTTGACGCCACTGCCCATCACAGGACTATATATTTTACTGCATCTATAGGAAACTACACAAAATAAGATTTGTCTGGTATTGCTAATAATCGCCTCTTAATAATACCAATGGGACGAAATGAATGAATACGTAAATTTTACTAATTTACGGGTGATTTCTGGATTTTAACAACAGCGCCACCTACCGGGTCCAATTGTGACGCGTCGTTTTAATCATTCAGGGACCTATTTAAATACACACAAAAAATTTCAACAAAATCGGTCCAGCCGTTTTCGAGTTTTAGCTAGACAAACGAACAGCAATTGATTATTATATATATGTAGAGAATTTAATATTAATTATAATATATTTTATATGTTAATTCTTTTGTATTTATCTATGAAATAAAAAATATGTATATAACAGTACCTTTTTGGTGCATCATACGATAAGCAGGTGCATTTTTATGACTATGATTTATCCTTTGTTTTGTTTTAACAGCTTTTTTTTATTTTATCATTTGTTTTATGTTGTTATTGAATCTCTTTTATGTGTTACTTTCATAAATAAAACTGCCTACGTCTATTTACCAATAAATATCTTTTTTTTCTACAATCTACTTCAAATAAAAGCAAACTTTTTTCAATTATCATTACAATATTCAAAATATGAATTATAATTAATAGGAAAGTTATAAATGATATATGATATTATAATTTAATTTGTTTAATTATGTTAATTGGTTGGTGGAATAGAGTAGTGGAAAACTATTTGAACTTATTCTCCCAAAGTATTTAATAAAGACAAATAATCATTATTTAAAATCATAATATTATAAAAATGTATTTCCATTCTCAATTTAATTTGACTCAAAATTTTAATGTTTCAAATGAAATCGCCATTGTATTTTTTACGTTTTACATTTGGATACAAAAAACTGACAGCCTGTAATGAACAGTTATTTTTATTTGTGAAATAAAGAAAAACCACAAACCTTGCATGAAAGTCGTTGAAATGTATAATATCCAATTTATAAAGTCCTTCAAAAGGTAATACAAAATTATTTACAAATTTCAACTCCAAATAGAAAATTGATGCAATAAGTGCCCATAAAGTCGACATTTTTAAGCTGTCCTTTAATAATAATTAAATTACAAGGGAATATGTGCACGATAGCTGTGCAAGTGTCACGAACGACGTTTGAAAAAACACTTGTGTAAAATTAATGATCATGCCTCACCTAAATCAATTTAATACTATCACTACACACACACTACAGCATGTTTAAAAAAACCACAAATAACGGTCTGTAAACAGAAAATTAATGTTTACTAAAATAAACCGATCATTAATAGCTGATTGATATTTAATTTGACAATAAAACTGAAATCAAATAAATATTAGCGTTTGCATGGTAATAGTTTTTTAAATTATGACTATCACATGCATCTATAGATTAAATCACTTTCACCAATTAAGAGTTTTATTGAATTAAATGTTGAACCTATAAGGGTATAACACAAATAAATTTCCACATTTCATCTGTATGCCGTTCCAGTGTACAGCAGCGAGGTTTCATATATCGATAAAAGTCGATCGAATAGAAGAAAACAATGGCTGGATTTTTCAGTCAGCGCGTATTAAGTCCATGGCTAAACCGTATATCTCCCTTATTTAGGATGTTTTCCTTATTTCATAAAATATCGATGTAATCGCGCCTAAGACCTAAATCCACTACCTATTCTCTACCAGATAACAATCAGACATCCTTGACGTAGTGATTTTTATTATAAAAAAAAACTGAAAGGTGTCCGTTAGTCGCTAACATCGACCGAGACAACTTTAGACCTTAACTCAGACCACTGACTGGTCTTGCTACAGCTGGGCCAGGCTGCAAGTAAGGTCTTTTGGATCAAAACTAAAGTAGACGGGCATAATCTCGAGGTCAAACTCGAATCTACGACCTCCCAGCATTTAGACTGACCGTTACCGTTACTGTAACAAGCTATTAAAGTCCACTGCTGAACAAAGGCCTCCGCCATAGATTGCCTCATTGGGGGCATATTTGCCTTAGTTACCCCGCTCGGCAAGCGGGTTAGCAACGACAGTTTTTTTTTTTTTAATTTTTATTAGGAAGACGCTGCTGCCCATCTCTTGATTTGTTTCCCTCTGTCGCCTCTTACTACACCCACGAGATATAGATTATAGCGCCCTATCGGCCCATCTTACTTTAGCGGTCCAAAATGTTCTCCTAAGGTTCGGGTGTCAAGTAATCAACACACAAAGATTCAGAGAAATATTCTTTAACTGATTAGGGTAAAAACCCGATCTTAAGCGTCATGATTGCTATCGTACGACAGAAAATAAATTTTCTTTTGAAAACGAGATCAAACTGCACAAGGCCGATTTTAGACATTATAAGTGGGACGACCTGCAAGATTAAATCGAGCCTTCTACACCGCATTTTGATGGCTGGCCTGATCTCTGAAAGCAGAGCAATCCTCACCCATTCCGCCACTCATTAAGCTAGAAAAACCCCAATCTCGCCTTCGACGATTCTGAAAAGTACGATTGCTTCGTCTAGCAAACCTACAAATCAGAAAAAGACCGACGTCAAAGGCATCCTGAAATCAGGAAAACCAAACAAGTTAGCCTTCAGTTACAGGCCGATAAGTTTCCTCAGCACACTGGGAAAAAATTTATAGCTACTCATACTAAACCACCTCTGAGATTACGTCCTTGTGTAATCTTTTTAAGCTTCTTCCCGATCAGCAGTCTGGCTTCAGACCCGAGCACTTGTGCAAGAATCAAAAACATCAGCTAGCAGAATACATTTTGGAAGCCTTAACTTACACTAGGAACCACCAAATTCTCAACACTGGTGGCATCTTCATCGAATTCACAAAAGCGTTCGACAAGTTTTGACATGACGCCTTCCTTTACAAGCTGCATAAACTCAACATACCTGATATGCTCAATCACATCATCAGATTCGTTCTTGCTAACCGCTCCTTTCGATAGCGAGTAAAGCGAACCCGCTCCCGAAAGCCCGGAGTCTCACAGGGCTCCGTCTTCTCCCCACACCTTTCTACATTCTACGCGAGTGATATCTCGAAGGAATCCTAGTTGTTAACACTGCTCACTTCGCCGGTGACACGGCACTTTTCGTTGGCGCATATAATTTAAATTTATTACCAAGACGCTCCAAAGACTTGCCTATCGGTTAAACAAATGATCTTTTTTTTAATGTTTTTTATACAAAAATACATGCGGTTATTTCTTACACTACTTTCGCTAAACTGCAGGGCAGTTTGTTGGCGAATACATCACGCACTTACATTCTATGTACCTACTGTAATTAATAACTTAATCTTAACTTACAACTTAAAATAGACGAAAAGAAATAACAATAAAAAAAATAGAAAAATTAAATTTAAACTTAGCAGTACTATCTATATACTTAATTATATTTAAACTTACACATGTTTAAACTTATTAATAATTTCTCCTTTAACTATTAATTAAGACTACTCGTATAGTATTAACACGTATCTAGCAACCACGCTTTCAACTTCCTTTTAAATTTTTCTTTAGTTTTACATTCGTCTTCAAATAATATCTCGTTAAAAATACGTGGTATTAGATATTTTCTCGTCCTCTTGCCGTAATAATTGTTAACCCTCAAATGCTCAACGTATTTCTTTCGAGAAGTAATTCTAAAATTTTTGCTAAATGTCCGAACTGTTTTAAACTCTAGAGATTTAAATTGATCTATTGCAATTAAGTACTTAAGTTTTACATGTGTAGGTAATATTCTAAAATTTTTAAATAAATTATTATAGTTTCCGTCAATGTTATATTTTTCTTTTGTTTTTTTTATCAATAAACAATTTTATTAAGCTCACTTGTAGCTTAAGAATTTTATCTGTATGTTTCAAAAGTACGTCCATATGCAATTAGTCCGTAACTCAGGGTTGAATCGGCTAGTGCATAATAAAGCATTTTTAAGATTGACCTGCTAACTATATGTTTAAGTTATTAAGCCTAGATAATATGGATCTTAATCTATCACATACAATGTTAATATGCAGTTTCCAACCAAAATTACAGTCTATTGTTAGCCCTAAGTACTTGTAACTATTCACAAATTCTATGGTTGTACATTTCCATTGTTGAAATTTATTATGTAAGCACTCGTACGAATGACCAAAGATATTTATTTCTTCACTAAGTTTTCTCATATATGGAGATTGGAGAAGCATACACTTTGTCTTGGATACGTTAAGTATAATGCCGTTGTCATGTGCCCATTTTAGTATACTAATGAAATCATCCTGCACCCTTTCCTCTATTACGATACATGACACACCCAGTGTTACATCAGCTTCTTCCCCAATAGTATCATTGATCATAGTGCGTAGTGTTCGGTTCTTCAAGTAATTTCGGAAACATTTGTTCATTGGACCTCTAATCCCACACTCTTGCATTGCTTCAAGAAGCATTTCGTGATCCAACGTATCGAACGCTTTTTTAAAATCAATGAACAATACAATGACATACTTTTTACTGTTTAGTTCATCGTTAACATCATCGGTAAATCGTGCCAGTGCAGTAGATGTACTGTACGTTTTTCTAAACCCATGCTGTGCGTTAGATATTATATGATTTTTTTCCAGAAACATACTAATTTGCTTAACTATAATTTTTTCAACTACTTTGTTTATGACTGACAATATAGCAATGGCCCTGTAATTTGAATATTCTAAATTATTACCTTGTTTAAATATTGGACGAATAATTGCACTTTTTAAGTAATTTGGATATACACCGCTTTGTACACACATATTCATAAATTTAGCAAGCAATGGACTGATCTCTTTCTTTACATACTTTAAATCTTTTACTCTTATTTCATCTACACCCGGTGATTTATTATGGCTTAATTTATCTATAATTTTTTCAAATTCGTTAGATAATACTTCTTAGTAACGGAAAGAAACGTTACTCGGATCCACATAAGTGGTACGATCAATAAATTTACAGTCACAGTAATGTTTTATTTTATCAATTTCCTCCGTAAATGATTTAGCGAAATTTGAGCATATATTAGTCACTGTATCTGTCTTACCTAAATATTTCATAATAACCGTATCTAAATTGTTATTATTCTTTCCTAACCAACCATTGATAGTTGCCCAGATCTTCCTACATTCTCCTTTACAATTCAAAATTTCGTTTTTCCTAGTTTTGTTTTTTTTGCTAAATTTATTAATTTATTTGTTCTGTTTCTGTGCCGCGTGTATTCTATATTATATATTCTAACCTATAATTCATATTTTTGGGATTAGCCCGCCACTTCCTAAACAAATAATCTCCTCGGTCTATCATCATTTTTAATGTATGATTAATCCACGGCTGTGCTACTCGTTTATTTTTGCTTAATTTTATAGCTAATGTGGACTCCTCAAAATCTTTCTTATAGAGGATTGAATTGAAGTGAATAATGTAAAAAGTGTAGCAATATACTTTTGTCCCCCTCTCGCTTGTTGAAACTTAAATCCGAAAAGATCGTTAGCCACGAACACAGTATACGGCCGCCCGATCCCTTGGGAATCGATGACTAAATACCTAAGGTTTTTACTACAGTATGTCCTTTGCGAAACACATACGCAACGTCAGCCAAATTCTAATCCATCAAAATAACAGTAAAAGTAGACTGTCTTTAAGACACAAGTTCCATCTTTATAAAATGTCAATAAGACTTATAATATGTTACGCAAGCGTAGACTTCGGCGTAGTTTACACGATCCCTAGACTATCCAAAACAGCTTCTTTCGCAGAGCCACTGTAGCTTGAAGATATCAACGTAACTCACGTGCACAAAGGTTGCGAACTTCCAACAATTTTTGAATATTAAATTTGACAAGAAATTACTTTGCGTACATCCGCTAGATAAAATAAAATGATCTGTCTTACCTAGTTTGAAAAGCACCTCCCGCCCTCCCTCAATTGCGTGCACTATCCCCGTCACCACTACTCCCAGCACCACTACACCCAACACCACTACATTAGGAAAGACACACCACTGACGACAATACGACACGTGTTTCGCCTCTACACGA